GGTTTGTCTTTTGTTTATTTGCTCCTTCGATTTTTTTGGGCAGGGGGAGTTTATATTGCATCTGTTATGCTGTTTCCTTCTTGAAATCTGCTGTCATTTTTTTCTATGGTCTCTAGGAGGTTTCATTAACTTCTCTTGTTCTCCAGTTTCTGAAGAATGTATATAGAGCTCCCTCTTTTTTGGCTCCTCAAGGTTTAGCCTGAAGGGAGAGAGGACAGGAGTAAGGAAGAAGTGGGGGCTGAAATGTCCCAATCATGACTACTTGATCCAGGCTTTGTTTTCACATGTGATGTCTCTGTCTTCTGATCAATGTCTGGAAATTTTCTACTTCTTGCAAATGAAGCTTTAAGTGCTTTAGTCCAGCTGGCTAATAATTAATGAAAACCAGAATGACATACTTTGCGATCTTAGTGGTATGGTAGGATAGATGGTAGATAGTTGTTTGCTTATTTACTTTTCTTTATTTTCTAAATTGTCTATTGTGAGTCCTTTTTAGAATAAGGAATGTTTTCACACAGTTGAGAGATTTCAAAATCAGCGAGTAGAAAGTCCTTGGTAGGATGTCACCTTTTCCTTACTTCTAGAAAGGCCACCAGGTCTTGCCTGACAAGGCTGGGTGCGCGGGTATGAGGCAGGCCTGCAGGAGGCAGTGCCTCTGGGGCTTCAGCCTGAGCGTCGCTCTGGCTGGACCATACGGGTTCCAGGGCTCCTGGGTTCTTTCCTTACTTCTTGCCCAGCTGGATTCACTCCTGCTTGCGAAAAGCCGATAAAAACAAGGACAACAAGATGAGCTTCAAGGAGCTGCAGAACTTCTTGAAGGAGCTCAACATCCAAGTAGATGACAGCTATGCCCGGAAGATCTTCAGGGTGAGACGGGGTCTGTGTAGTGGTGGAGTCTTGATCCTGCTCAGGCCTCTTCTGAGTCTTGCCCACCGGACTGTCCTGGCTTTCCAGGAATGTGACCACTCCCAGACAGACTCCCTGGAGGATGAGGAGATTGAGGTCTTCTACAAGATGCTGACCCAGCGGGAGGAGATCGACTACACCTTTGCAGAGGCTGCAGGCTCAGGAGAGACCCTGTCGGTGGATCAGTTAGTGACGTTCTTGAAGCATCAACAGAAAGAGGAGGAGGCGGGGCCTGCACTGGCCCTGTCCCTTATTGAGCGCTATGAACCCAGTGAGACTGGTGAGGACCTGGCAGTCCCAGGGTCACATGGCTGGGACAACCCCGAGGAGACTGCAGCCAGAGGGGAGGAGTATCAGCCCCAGGGCCCCTGGGCAGCACTCGCTGGCCTACAAAAGCCAGCAGATGGGAGACAGGACTCCAACATAACTGCTCCTCTCTGGGCCTCAGTTTTCCTCTTGTTCCTCTTTCAGAGGGCCTTGAGGACCCCTCCCTGAGGTGGCTGGAAAAGTCACACTATTCCTGCCTCCTCCTGTGAATCCATTCTGGGCCCAGCTAAGACATGTGACAGAACAGAAAAGATGGAGCCTGGCTATAGAGGGGGCTCCTAGCTGGGGGCACAGAGAAGGAGAGGAGAGACCCTGATCTCTGAGGCCTCATAGTGTGAGGACAGAAGAGGAGGAGGCAGGGCTTTCCTCTGGGGAAGCTACAGGCTGGCTGGAGACAAGACTTCTCCTGCTTCCCAGAGCTGTTGAGAACCAGCTGGGGCTGGGCAGGCAGAGGGAGGAGAGGGTTCCTGCTTCTGGAGTGGCAGCCAGCACTGACCAGCAATGGTGACCTACTCCCTCCCAGCCAAGGCGCAGCACCAGATGACCAAAGATGGCTTTCTCATGTACCTGCTGTCAGCAGATGGCAACGCCTTCAACCTGCTACACCGGCGAGTCTATCAGGACATGAGCCAGCCACTCAGTCACTACCTGGTGTCCTCCTCACACAACACATACCTGCTGGAAGACCAACTCACTGGGCCCAGCAGCACAGAAGCCTACATCCGGTGCGATCCAGGGAAGCCTTCAGGGGTGGGAGCCTTGGTGGGACCCAGGACAGGACTGGAGAATCCTAGCTGCCACCCCTACTCACAGGGCACTGTGCAAAGGCTGCCGCTGCTTGGAGCTTGACTGCTGGGATGGGCCCAACCAGGAGCCAATCATCTACCATGGCTACACTTTTACTTCCAAGATCCTCTTCTGCGATGTGCTCAGGGCCATCCGGGACTATGCTTTCAAGGTGGGCATGCCCCTGCAGGTATGGGGGGGTGCTAGGGGCAGCAGGCCCCCCCTAACATGCCTTGGGCCTCCAGGCCTCCACCTACCCAGTCATCCTGTCCCTGGAGAACCACTGCAGCCTGGAGCAGCAGCGTGTGATGGCACGACACTTGTGTGCCATCCTGGGGTCCATGCTGCTGGACCAGCCACTGGATGGAGTTACCAGTGACCTTCCTTCCCCAGAGGTATGTTGGGGGGATGGCCAGAAGAGAGGGCAGAAGACTGGCTGAGAGGCCAGGTGGGCCCTGACCAGTTGCCCCTCCATCCCTAGCAACTAAAGGGGAAGATCCTGCTGAAGGGGAAGAAGCTTGGGGGGCTGCTACCCCCTGGAGGGGAAGGTGGCCCTGAGGCCACTGTGTCAGATGAAGATGAGGCTGCTGAAATGGAGGATGAGGCCGTGAGGAGCCGGGTGCAGCATAAACCCAAGGTTTAAGGGGGAACTGTAAGGGTGGGGTAGCCCTAGAGCCTTCCCCACCCCCATGGGCCATTCGCCTTCTCAGTTCTCTGTGGCTGCCATTCATACCCTCTGCCCCTTCTCTCTGTCTGTCTCCCGCTGTCTCTGTGTCTGGGTTTCTGGCTCTCAGTGCCCACCCTGCCCAACCCCTGGCTCTAACCCGGGCCTCCCCACGGCCCCCAGGAGGACAAGCTCAGGCTGGTGCAGGAGCTCTCCGACATGGTCATTTACTGCAAGAGCGTCCACTTTGGGGGCTTCTCTGGTGCTGGACCCTCCAGGCAGGCTTTTTATGAGATGGCATCCTTCTCTGAGAACCGTGCTCTCCGCATGCTCCAAGAGTCAGGTGAGTCCCTCCCTGCAGACAGAGGCTGGCCAGGGCTGATCCTGGCCTCTCCCTGCTCTGGTGACCCCACTGCTGACTGAACCATACTTCACTTCAGGGAACAGCTTTGTCCGCCATAATGTGGGCCACCTGAGCAGGATCTACCCGGCTGGATGGAGAACAGACTCCTCCAACTACAGCCCTGTGGAGATGTGGAATGGGGGCTGCCAGATTGGTATGGGCTAGCAGGGGCTTGAGGAGCCTGGAGTAGAGCTTCAGTCCTGAGACCAGGGGCCTGGGGCCTTCAAAAGAGGCCTGGGGACCTGACCAGGAACAGATGCAGAAGTATGTGGCGATGGTAAACTGTTGGAAATATCTCCCTACCAGCAAGTCAGTGTCTGAAAATACACAACTAGCACCCTAGCCCTTAGAATTTTGCCACCAGAAATGGTGCACATGGCTAGTGTGGTGAGTCAGGTTGAGGTGGCAAGAGGGCAATAGGTACCGGGTGATATTGGATTCTGCTTTTGACTTGCCATGGGACCCTAGGCCTCAGTGTTTCCTAAGCAGGCTGGGCACTAAGGTCTTGAATCCAGCCAACAATCTGTGACTTCTCTGTCCTGCCTGTAGTGGCCCTGAACTTCCAGACACCTGGGCAAGAGATGGACGTGTATCAGGGCCGCTTCCAGGACAATGGAGCCTGTGGATATGTGCTGAAGCCTGATTTCTTGAGAAACCTCAACACCACCTTCAGTGCACGTGCTCTGACTCAAGGGCCCTGGTGGGCTCCAAAGAGGCTCACTGTGAAGGTACGACCAGACCCAGGAGGGACAGGTGTCTACGGTCCTCCCATCTCCCTCACTGCTATTCCTGAACCCTTAATTATCCACCACCTTTCCTCAGATCATTTCAGGGCAGCAGCTACCAAAAGTTAATAAGAATAAGAATTCAATTGTGGACCCGAAGGTGACGGTGGAGATCCATGGTGTGGGCCGGGACATGGCCAGTCGCCAGACTGCTGTCATCACCAATAATGGTATGTGCTGGGTCTGGGCTGGGCCCGGCTCCTGAGCTGATGTCTGTGCTGTTGATGCATGGTGTCTGTCCCTCTAGGCTTCAACCCACGGTGGAACACAGAGTTTGAGTTTGAGGTGGTTGTACCTGAGCTTGCCCTCATCCGCTTTGTGGTAGAGGACTATGATGCCTCCTCCAAGAATGACTTCATTGGCCAGAGCACCATCCCCTGGAACAGCCTTAAGCAGGGTAAGTGTTGGGGTGTGGGGATGGCCACAGCTAGGGAGGCAGGGCCAGGCTTTCTTTGGCCTGGACCTGGCTGTGCCTTGGCACATCCTCCCTGAGTAACTGGAACTCTCCTCCTGCCCATCTGCCTGCCAGGATACCGCCACATCCACCTCTTATCTAAGAACGGAGACCAGCATCCTTCAGCTACCCTCTTTGTGAAGATTGCCCTCCGGGACTAAGGTGTGGGGTGTCCAGTGGGATATGCCATGAGTAGTCTATGCTCTGTGTCCACAACTGGAGAAAGGGCTGCTGTGGCCACTCCAATCTCTGGCACTGAGCTAGGGGCTCCAGAACTGCCTTTAACTCTAACATACTGTCAATGCTGCTGCTCCACTGGGGTCCCAGGAGCTGGCTCAGTGCCTATAACTGTCCTTAATTCCATTAAGAACAACACTGCAGCTCTCTGCACCCTTTGGCCAGCCTTAGGTCAAGAGTTTTTATAAAAATCACATTGAGAGTAAGCCTGGTGATCTCTTTACCTGGACTCAGAAAATCTCCTGGGAAGCGTGTGTGTTTGTGTGTGTGTGTGTGTGTGTGTGTGTGTGTGTGTGTGTCCCTTCCTTCTTGCTCATGGGATTGTCTGGAAAGAGCAGCAAGAAGCAGGCCCCTCCAGGGAGGATACAACCTACAGGGTCACACAGCCTTGTTCCCTGAGAGGGGAACCCACCAAGTGATTGGGTTTGAAAGCACATGTACCATGCCTGGTGCAGGCCACCAGCTTTTATTGACAAGGAAGATGGGAGCTCTAAGTGGGGCGGGGAGCAGGTTCTCCCCAGGGCTCAGAAGAAACCCAGCTTCTTTTTTTCCTGCTGCTGCTTCCACTTGGCCATGCTGTAGAACTCTTCCTTGGATTTTCCAAAGATGTCTTGGAAGTCAGAATCGGACAGATAGAACTGGAGTGTGGGGGGAGAACAGATGTGGGAACAGGGGTCACTGGAGCCCGGAATTCTATCCCACCCAAAGTTTCATGGGGGCACAAGACTGTACTGCATCTGCCCTGTGCCAAGACAGCTCCTCCAGCACAGTTCTAGATGCACTGGGGCAGTGAGTGGCAGGGTCTGGGTGCTCACCTCCTTGCAGGCAGGGTCCACACCTGGAGGCAGGTCCTCAGCAGCCTGGTGCATCAGCCGTTCCTGGGGCAGATTCCCACTGACTGGTGAGCTGGTGTCACTGACACAGCTGCTGGCACTTGTCCTGGTGCTGGTGATCCTGGTACTCGCACTGGGGCCCAACTCCAGTTCCTTCTGTGAGCTGTCCTGGGAGCCCTTGAGGGCCAGCAAGGCCGAGGGACCTGCCCTCCTATTGCCCCGCCATTGGGATGGCTGGAAGTTGTTGATTTCCTATCCAGAGAGGAGCCTCAGGCTAGGGTAGATGGGGAATAGGCAGCCTACAAAGTGGTCACACTGAAACCCCCTGGCCTCTTGCCCCTGATTGCAGCTCTGCTGCCTACCACTGCCTAGTCCCTGCTGCTGTCCACCTTCACCCATGCCATCTGAGCCGCAACCACTGTGGGGAACATCCACGGGTCCCAGTACTCACTGCTGTTATCTCAGAGATGGCAGACCCTGTTCCCAGGCTGCCCTCCATCACTTCTTCATAGGCCTGGTTGCTCTGAGGGTAAGAATCAGGGCAACTATCAGGACTGGGGCAATAGGGGACCTGAGAAGGACTTGAGGATGAAAGTAGGTCTCCCTTATATGTGCTGGAGGCCCTTCACCCAAACGTACCCCCCCCACTTTAGAGTGGGGCTGGACACTTTAGGCCTCACTCACCATCCACTTGTAGGGGTCCCAAGTGAAGAACCATCCTGTGAAGGTGGGAGGCTCATGGCCCTGCTTGACCAGCACAATGGGTGTAGCCAGGCTCCTTTCTGCTGGATGGTTCTTCAGGTACTCCCGGCCCCAGGCCACCACCTCTTTCTTCCACTCACCTGCAGCTTCTCCAAGCCACAGGAAGACCTGGGCCACAGAGGGGGCCTAACCTCGGGCAGGTGGATTGGCTGCCTGGAGCCAGCCATCTCATCCCACTTCCCTGCCAGATGGCCCCAGATCCTGCATCCCCATCCCTGGCCAAGCAGACACACCTGGCAAGCTGCCCACACAGGAGTGTCACAGGCATGCAGTCAGGCATGCAGTCTGTAAAGCTTTACTAAGCACGCTGCGTGCCAGGCACTGGGGATTCAACAATGAAAAAATTAGGCAAAAATCCTTGCCCTTGTATGGTTTTCATGAAGGAGAAAATTACATATTTGTCTAGAAGAAAGCAGAGAAGTAACAATCCTTGAACTGGTGAGGTGCCTGACATGTTCAGGGAACGGCAAGAGAGCCGTAGAGTCTGGAGCAGGAGCAAGGTGGAGAGGGGAGGGATTCAGGTCAGAGCTGGGCTGGCCAGGTCTCATGTGGGGGCTTAGTAAGGGCTTGAGTTCTTCTCTGGGTGAGATGAGAGCCCACTGTACTGACACAGAGACACACAATCATCCATTGCTATACAGCAGACAAACAGTCATTCATTACTGTCCAGCATGCGACTACACACACCAGCAATTGCATTTGCTTAGCAGTCACACACAGCCCCTGGAAAGTCACACGGAGACACAGCTGCACAAACACAGACATAGTCGCTCAGCCCCTCACATCCACAGCTGGTCATATGGTGTCCCTCTCCCTGATAGTCTCGTCAGTTATAACTAGTGTGACTGGTATCAGTCATTTGACCGCAGTCACTGACAGTCAGTGTAGCTCTGGTCTTAACACACAGCCATATACACAAAGGCAAATGCAGTCACACAGAATCCTCATACACAGATATGTGGTCAGTCCTTCCACTTACAGTCACTCAGTGCTGACACATGTTCAGCCACAGGTGTGCAGTCACCTGGACTCACACGCAGTCTGAGGGTATACAGTTACAACTACATATTTGGTCACAATCACACAGGTCCCAGCTCAGAGTCATAGTTTCCTGCAGTCTTGCTGCTGTCACACAGCAATACAGACTCATCCACCATCTGCTACTGCACAATTCCACAGTTGTGGTGTTACACACCATCACAGACTTACAGTGTGTGCAGGGTCAGGTGGCCAGACACACTCAGTTGCATAAATACAGATACACTCCAGCCAGCCAAGAGTGGCTGCATTACCTCCTGCCAGGTGTCCAATAACATGATGTCATACTTGTCCAGGTCCTTTTGGCCAAAGAACACCACTTCCGTGAGGACCAGGAAGCCCCTCTCGCTGGAACACTCAAACAGTCGTGGCTGGAGACTGGAGGCCTCCCCAGACTGGAGCCTGGCCAGCATGGGTAGCAAGGTAGTGAGCAGAGTCAAGGGTGCTGTGCCTCCACAGACTGGGCCATACTGGCCCACCTCGAAAGGGTCCCCAGCCCAGGGCAGGAAAGCAATTTCTCTGGGGTCTGAGCTCTACCCACCCCATAACCCCTCCAGGAGCACCCTGCTCCTCTCTGGGTTGCAGGGTCCCTTTCTGTCAACAGACAAAGCAGATCAGGTAATCTGTGCAGCCCCAGCCAGCTGTGACACAAGCTGTTCCGTGACTTTCCCAGTAACTGTCATTAGGAAAGTGGGTAGCTGGCTCTGCAGGTAGGGAAGTACCCCTAACAGGAAGCTGGCTTCAGGTCCAGGGTAGAATGAAGAAAGCTAGGCTGGGCGAGGGGATAGTGGCACTGAGCTCAGGAGACTTGGTGAGGTGTGATGCAAAGACTTAGGCCACACAGACACCTACAGAGCCTCCTGCGTTGCAGATCCCTCTTCCCTGGGGTGGTGGTAGGGCGCCTCACTGCCTTTGCCACTTTGCCCAGAACAGAGACACTGCAGAGAGTGGAGTCTGCCAGCAGAGGGCACTACTGTCCTGCTAGCCTGTGCATTGCTATCCAAGTTACCCAGGATGGGAAAGTGAACTGTGGGGCTTTGCTCCTGAGTCCTGGGGGTGGAGGGCTGGAGTCCTCAGTTTCAGTCATATCTCTCCAGTTCTTTATGTGACCCTAATTAGTGACCCACACTGTCTGGGCCTGAGTTCCTCAAGGTAAAAACACCTTCCTCCCAAATCTGTTACCTCTTGTTGGAGTAGGGGGCCTGGCCTCTAAGCACCTCCCAGAAGTGGGGAGGCTCCTGACCCTCCAGGACAGTTTCCGTGTTATTCCCGGAGATGACAGTTACCACCATCCGCGCCATCTCACGTTGGTCACCGTTACAGCCCTGGCAAGCACAGAGCTGGATAAGCCCTGGAGGAGGCCTGCTTTTAGCTCCATCCTACATCCCACCCTACGCTGACAGTGGGACATGAGAGAGCAAGACATCTCCTTTCCTTCCCCTCCAACCCTCAGTTTCCCTTGCTGTTCCGGATCACAGGATCTGGAAGCCTGTCTGGATCCTCCCTCCCCAGAACTGGTGGTTAATCATGGTGTGTGCCAGAGATCAGAGAAAACTCCAGCAAAGCAGACTAGGTCTCCACCCCTCTTCTCCCAAGAGACTTGGAAGGGACACACCTGATGTTCAAGGCAGGAAGGAGAAGAGGCAGCTTCTGCAAACCCAAGGGGACTCCCAGGTTCACCTATCACTTTCTTCCTTTAACCCCCACTGGCCTATCCTTGGTTGAACTGGAAGCCTGCATCCGGTGGAGGGGACCCATCCCAGTCTGACGCCACTGTCCCAGTCGTGAGTCAGGTGGTCAGTGCTGCAGGTACCTTTCCAAACCAGAGGTAGCAGGTATCAGCTGTGATCAGCATGAAGATGTCACTGGAGCTGAGGGATGAGGCACGGGCTGGCACCTCTACAGTCTTGGTGTTGTGGCTCTCAGTGCCTTGTACATGGAAGAGCCTTGTGGCAGGTCCTGGCTTCCCCCTCCCGTTGTCTCCAGCAATCTCCTAGAAGAGGGCTGGGCCTTAGGCTAAGGCGAGGGAGAGGACTCCTGGGGGCCACCTCCCTCTCCTGTGGGAACCAATTGCCTCAGAGCTCAGGCTACCATTGTCTTATGGACTCTTTCTAAACGGTGAGGACCCCACCTGGTCAGGATAGTTGCTTAGGCCTTGAAGGTAGAACACTTGGCCCCTTTTGGCTCAACATCCTGGCCTGTGTTCTTGCTTTGTGCCTATCCCTGGGACCAGGGGAAGAAACTTGGGCAGGGGTCACACTTGGAGTTTCTGGGCCTGGGGCAAGCACAAGGATACCAGGGGCTAAAAAGCTGGGCCCCAGACCTGAAGAGAAGGTAGGGGTACATAGCAAGTGGATGCAAGGCCACAGGCACATGGAAGACTGGTGAAGATGCCACCACAGTGGCAAAGTGGACCCTACCTGGAAGACCACCAGCTGACCCTGGAAGATGGCAAGGAAGTGCGGGGGCTCACTGCCCATGGTCACATGCACCTGCACCAGGGCTCCCTGGTGCATGAGGTCCAGCTCCTCGGCGTTGCAGATCAGGGCCTTGGTCTCATCTGCTGTGGCCTGGTGGCCCTGTGGGAGTTGAAGGGTGATAATCTGGTGTAGCTTACATGTCCCAGTTGTTCTCGGATCCCAATTCTGGGCTTGAAGGTGTGGCCCACTCCCTGAGGTTAACGCACCTGCCATAGGTACAGGATGTACTGGACATGACCCAGCCTCTCATATGTGTAGAGGACAAGGTAGCAGCTACCTGAGTACAACTGGCCATGATGCTTGGGGTCCACAGACTGCCTGGCTAGATTCTGGATGCACCACATCTGAGAAATAAAGGATCAGGGGGCACAGATGTCTCCTCTGCCTGACCCAGCCTGCCTGCCTGCACCAGCCAGAAAGCTCTCCTCGGCTCATAGGCATTTCTTATCTGTGTGGGCATCCACACAGGGCTCACCCCAGCTCTGTGTCCTCCCCATGCTTTGTGCTGGATCTGCAAGTGACCCTTCTCCCACGGACCCCACACTGGTGCTGCCTGTGTTTAACTAGGACTCTGAGTTTGTGTGTGGTACCTGGGTAGACAAGTGGTGAGGACTCCGGAGGCTGTAAGATGGCCCAACCCTTGTCCCATATCTACCCCCAATCCTAACCATTCCCAATCCCCACTAGCCACAGCCCTGGAGAGGGGCATACAGGTCCCTGCACAGCCTCTCACTGCTCAGGTCAGGGCAGCAGGAGTGAGGCTGAAGTGAGACCTAGGAGCTCTGGGGAAATTCCCATCCTTCTTTCAAGTATCATTTTTAAAAAACAAAACTCGATTAAAGACTTGAAATGCAATTACTTCCTCGAATTTTTCAGTGTAAGTTCTTGTTCCTGTGGGTAGCCACACATGAGCTCTGCAGCCTGCAGACCCAAGACAAATCCCCAGTCTGCACAGGCTGGCAGTGAGACCATTCTAGGCTTCAGTTTTTCCTGTCCGCAAATGGGGGATCACAATGCCTACTGCACTTCGCCTCTGCAGGCAGGAACACAATGTCTGGGCATCCTTTAGACCCACACAGCCTGAGAGATTCTCAAGGGAACTTCTCCAGACTAGGGCATCTAAAATCTTGACTTTATCAGAAGAGGCAAAGCCAGACAACATACCAACCAAGAGTGGCACTTAGCTGGCAGTCAGGCCTCCTGACTCAGGCCCTCTCTGCTTGCCAAGCATTTGCCTTTGCCCTTGGAGCCTCCCTTACCTTCTCCTTCTTTTTCCTGCCTGTCTCTCCCTGCATGCCCCCCCCCTTGAGTCCCTTATTCCTCTGTATACCCTCACCTTTCCCTTCTCTTCCTTCACCTTGTGTCCTTCTACTTTCTCTGTCTTCTCCCTTCTTGCTGCCTTCACAGACTCCTTGCCCATCCACTCCCATCTTCCTCTCTCCGTGTTTCCTCCTTGCCCTTTCTCTTCCTTCTCTCTAGGTTTCTTCCTACTCACCACCTCTGTCCATCCATATTGGGGCAAATGTGAAAGAAAGCTTGTAGTTCTCTGACCTCAACTTGAGAACTAGGATCCAGCAGTCCTGTTCCCATAATCTCACAGCCCTGAGGCCAGATGGGTTATGGTCTCTCTCTCTCTCTCTTTTTTTTTTTTTTTTTTTTTTTTTTTTTTTTT